ACATGGTGAAACCCCGTCTCTACTAAAAATACAAAAAACTAGCCGGGCGAGGTGGCGGGTGGCGGACGCCTGTAGTCCCAGCTACTCGGGAGGCTGAGGCAGGAGAATGGCGTAAACCCGGGAGCGGAGCTTGCAGTGAGCTGAGATCTGGCACTGCACTCAGCCTGGGCGGCAGAGCGAGACTCCGTCCTAAAAATAAAAATAAAAAAAAAATAAAAAAAAAAAGAAAGAAAGTAAATATTCTATACAGAGCCACCAAACTGAATATTTGTGGGCTTAGTCAGCCCTAGGACCCAGTTTGAGACCCTGGGAGTAGGTGTGATCCATACCGGGAGTCCAGAACTGTGGTTTTTGTGACTTTAGATTTTAGTTTTATTGTAGAATGAGGCCTGTAGAGTTTTTGTGATTTGGTTCATGGATAATTAACTGTGGAACGTTCACTGTTTATCATTATTGACTCCCATTCTGTAGGTCATTGTTTGAGCCACTGTTTCATGTTTAATGATTGTCATTATTTTTTTTTTTTTTTTTTTTTTTGAGACGGAGTCTTGCTCTGTCACCACCTAGGCTGGAGTAGCCAGGATGGTCTCAATCTCCTGACCTTGTGATCCGCCCGTCTCGGCCTCCCAAAGTGCTGGGATTACAGGCTTGAGCCACCGCGCCCGGCCTTTTTTTTTTTTTTTTTTGGAGAGATGGAGTCTTGCTGTGCTGCCCAGGCTGATCTTAAACTCCTGGGCTCAAGAGATCTTCCTGCCTCAGCCTCTCAAAGTGCTGGGATCACAGGTGTGAGCCACTGTACCCAGCCAACTTTTTTTTTTTCATTGATATATAATCAATGTAGCTTAAAATACACACATCCTTTGTTTTTTTGTTTGTTTTTTTGAAAGAGTCTCACTCTGTCACCCAGGCTGGAGTGCAGTGGCATGATCTCGGCTCACTGCAACCTCCGCCTCCTGGGTTCAAATGATTCTCCTGCCTTAAGCCTCCCAAGTAGCTAGGATTACAAGATCCCACCACCACACCCAGCTCATTTTTTTTTTTTTTTTTTTTTTTTTGGATTTTTAGTAGAGACGGGATTTCACCATCTTGGCCAGCCTGGTTTTGAACTCCTTAATCCAACCACCCAGTTAACTGTAAATTTGATGATTGTGACACTAAAATAATAAAGCCTTCATCCTTTCCTTCTGGAGGTCTGATTGTGACGCTCTCTTGGGAGGCACGGGCCTAGGAACTCCATTCGAAAAGAATAAGTTATTATTTTTAGTATTCTTTAGCACAAAGACTTGGCGGTCTACAAACGTTAGTATTCACATACACAAATATGCACACCCTATAAACCTAGTATCTTTATCTTTCGCCATGAAAGTAATAGTCAAAAATAAAATACAACGCACAAAGACGAAACCAAACTTACAGATGAAATATTCGTTTGCATAAGAAAAGACAGAAAAGGCCCCCTAGAACCAACTTTCACCCAGTGCTTACCGAACTCAGAAATCGCCAGGTCCCTGAACCGGAAGGACCCTGGGGACGGAGCCAACGTGGATGCAAAAGGCGTAAATTATTTTCCCGCTGGAAAAAAAATTCACAAACGCTGCTTTGGAGGCCTTTGGAGAGGGGAGCACAGATGAAAACACCCTGCGGACACCGCAACTAGACGCCCGACTCCTCCCGGGGAGCGACGGTCCGAGTGGACGCCAGCGGCCCCTACGGACGCGAGAGGAGTGGGCCAGGCCTGTCTAAGGTCCGGGCCAAACCGGTCCTTTACCCCTAAACCACTTCATCTCCGCGGAACTCACCAACGACAGAGAGGCCCTAACTCTGAAAGGCAAAAAGAGTCTCAGGCGCTCACAGTGACGTCACAGAGTGAAGGGCGCCCCGCTGACGTCATTTCAGCGCTCCGCCACGGGCCGGGCGGGGTTTTGGTACTAGAGTTTCTGCCATGTAAGACCTCCTCGAGGCAGAAAAATTCTAGTTTTCTCCTGCTTGGCTGCGGAGGACGTTAGGGTGGGCTCAGCGCGGGGGCTGCAGGCAGAAGTGGGCCCAGAGGACAAGGTCGAGGTTAGAGCCAGGCCTGTGGGCCGGGCTACGGGCAAGTGGCGGGGCCCACTCTCGGGGGCGGCGAGGAAGGTGGGGCCAGGCCCAGAGGAAAAGGTTGAAGTTACAGCCAGGCCTGCCGGCGAGGCCACAGGGGGACGGGCCGTAGGGGAAGGAGCCGATGTGTTATGCATCTAGAAAATACGTAACTACGTATTTTGCTGTGTTACTATTTCAACATTTGATGTAAAACACATTTTCTATGCAGCCAAAAGAATTGATTTTAAAAATAATTTTGGGTTTTTTGCCTTGCTTTAAAACGTCTTTTGCTTTCTTTTTTTTTTTTTTTTTTTGAGACAAAGTCTCACTTTGTCACCAAGGCTGGAGTTCAGTGGAGCCATCTCAGCTCACTGCAACCTCTGCCTCTCAGGTTCAAGCGATTCTCCTGCCTCAGCCTCCCAAGTAGCTGGGATTACAGGCACATCCAGCCACACCCTGCTAATTTTTGTATTTTTAGTAGAGACAGGGTTTTGCCATGCTGGCCAGGTTGGTCTTGAGCTCCTTGTCAGGCTTCTGGGCACAGGCTAAGCCATCATAACCCCTCTGACCTGCAGGTATACATCCAGATGGCCAGGAGCAACTGAAGAACCATAAAAGAAGTGAAACAGCCAGTTCCTGCCTTAACTGATGATGTTCCACCATTGTGATTTGTTCCTGCCCCACCCCAACTGATCTCTTGACCTTGTGACATTCTTCTCCTGGACAATGAGTCTCAGGAGTTCCCCACCCAGCACCTCATGACCCCTGCCCCTGCCTGCAAAAAATAACCACCTTTGACTGTAACTTTCCCTTACCTACCTAAATCCTGTAAAACTGCCCCACCCCTATCTCCCTTTGCTGACTCCTTTCTCAGACTCAGCCCACTTACACCCAAGTGAATAAACAGCCTTGTTGCTCACACAAAGCCTGTGGCGATCTCTACACACGGATGCATGTAACATTTGGTTCCAAAACCCAGGACAGGAGACTCCCTCAGGAGACCAGCCCCCTGTCCTCACCCTCACTCCGTGAGGAGCTCCACCTACAACCTCGGATCCTCAGATCCTCAGACCAGCTATTTGGGAGGCTGAGGCAGGAGAATCGCTTGAACCCAGGAGGCGGAGGTTATAGTGAGCTGAGATTGTGCCATTGCACTCCAGGATGGGCAACAAGAGCGAAACTCTGTCTCAAGAAAAAAAAGAAGAACAGCTCAGAGGAGACCCATAGTGAGTAGCTCCCCTCTGTGGGCAGGCAGGTTGTCCGTCGAGTGTTCAGTTCTCAGCAGAGAGGAGGCGCTGGAGAGGGTACCTCTTCTCCTCAGGCAAGTTGTTCGGTGGTCTCTGCAGGTCTCTGAGGGTCTCAGCAGAGACACTAGCCTCCTCTCTTCTGCTGGTGGCACTGTCTGCTCAGCTCTAGCTGAGCCAGGGGGACTTTGTGAGCCTCAGAGGGCAGGAAGTGCATGCCAATTTGCCCATGGGTGGCCATGGGCAGGCCTGGAAAAGGCACCAGTTACCACTCCAGTTCGTGGGACTGGCGGCCCGGCCACCAGCTTTCAGGCCTTCCCTGGCCAGAAGGAGAAACCTTACCAGGGACCTATCCCTTTGCCCCGGGACTCTCTCATGTCTGTCCCGCTGTTCATGGCGAGCCGGCTTGGCCTGACTTTGCTCCAAGATAGGAGGAGGTGTGGACAGCAGGGAGAAGCCAGGCAGCTGGGGCAGGCATTAAACATTAGCCAGGCACAGTGACGCACATCTGTAGTTCCAGCTGCTCAGGAGGCTGAGGTAGGAGGACTGCCTGAGCCCAGCAGGCTGAAGCTGCAGTGAGCATTGATCACACTGAGGTAGGAGGCAGAGTTTGACTCCAGAGGTGGGGCTCAGACCTGGACAAAATTGAGGACTAGCTAAAACAGGGATGGGGCAGAAGCAGCTTTCCCTAAGAAACACCCACCAGTGAGCCATGTCAGTTTACCACTGTCATGGCAACACCCGGAGTTACCACCCCTTTCCATGGCAACAACCCGATGACCAAAGTTACCACCCTTTTCCTAGAAATTTCTGCATAAACTGGCCCTTAAACATGTAATTAAAAGTGGGTATAAATATGACTGCAAAACTGCCCTGAGCTGCTACTCTGAGCTGCTACTCTCAACACACTGCCTATGGGTTTCCCCATAAGAGCAGTCACAAAGCTGTAACACCACCAGAGCTGTAACACTGCTTCTTTGATAAAGCGTCTTTCTTCTATCATCAGCTCACCCTGAATTATTTCCTGGCCGAAGCCAAAAACCCTCGTGGCCTAAGTCCCAATTTGAAGCTTGCCTGTCCTACAGCAGCATGACTACACTCCAGCCTGGGTGACGGAGTGAGACCCTGGCTCAAAAAAGTGTACTTTATCAAAGAGATGTATATTAGAAGTAAGTTAAGATAGAACAGTTTCTTAATTCCAAAAAAACAAAACATTTGAGCAAAGAACAGTCTTTTGAATAAAAGTCATAAAAACAGACCAGACATGGTGGCTCATGCCTGTAATCCCAGCACTTTGGGAGGCCAAGGCAGATGGATCACCTGAGGTCAGGCATTCAAGACCAGCCTGACCAACATGATGAAACCCCATCTCTACAAAAAATACAAAAATTAGTTAGGCATGATGGTGGGTGTCTGTAATCCCAGCTACTTGGGAGGCTGAGGTAGGAGAATTGCTTGAACCTGGAAGGCAGAGGTTGCAGTGAGCTGAGATCATGGCATTGCACTCCAGCCTCGGCAACAGCACATGACTCCGTCTCAAAAAAATAAAAAATAAAAAAGAAGGCCAGGAGTGGTGGCTCATACCTGTAATCTCAGCACTTTGGGAGGCAAAGGCAGGAGGATCAACTGAGGTTGGGAGTTTGAGACCAAACTGACCAACATGGTGAAACCCCACCTCTACCAATAATACAAAACTTAGCCAGGCGTCATAGTGCACACCTGTAATGCTAGCTACTCGGGAGGCTGAGGCAGGAGAATCACTTGAACCCAGGAAGCAAAGATTGCAGTGAGCCAAGATTGTGCCATTGCACTCCAGCCTGGGTGACAGAGCGAGACTCTGTCTCAAAAAAATAATAAATAAAATAAAATAAAAAGAATTTGCATTTGGGGAAGTTTGTCAAAGATGTTAAAAAGGCTCAAAACATTTGATTAAAATAACAGGTCACTTGTTAGTAATCTATGTAAATACAGCAATAATCAAAAGTCATTAACAGGAATATAGAGAGTTACTGGGAAAAAAATGAATTCTTTTAAAGCCCAGAGTTTTTTGTTGTTTCTTTTTATTTATTTTGGGGTAGATGGGGGACAGCATCTCACTCAGTTGCCAAGGCTGGAGTGCAGCAGCACAAAAGCTCACTGCAGCCTTGATCTCCCAGGCCTAAGTGATCTTCCCACCTCAGCCACCTGAGTAGTTGAGACTACAGGCACATGTTACCACACCCAGCTAATTTTGTGTGTGTGTGTGTGTGTGTTTTGTAGAGATGGGCTTTCATCATGTTGCCCAGGCTGGTATCGAACTCCTGAACTCAAGCGATCCTCCCACCTTGGCCTCTCAAACTGCTGGGATTCAGGCATGAAACACCATGCCCAACCAGATTTTTGTGTGTGTGTGTGTGTTTTTTTTTTTAAGTGATAAAAAACTTAATAAAGGCAACACAGGAGATTATCTCGATAATTTCTTGTAAAACCTTTCTTAGACTAGCTACCAAAAAGGCAAAGAAAAACCTTCTACAGTGTAATTATTTCTCCTTATGTGAAGCTCATTTAGATAACCTGGAAGTTGGCCAGGCACGGTGGCTCACGCCTGTAATCCCAGCACTTGGGTGGCCGAGGTGGGTGGATCACTTGAGGTCAGGAGTTTGAGACAAGCCTGGCCAACATCGTGAAACCCCTTCTCTACTAAAAATACAAAAATTAGCCACAGTGGGTGGCATGCACCTGTAAACCCAGCTACTCAGGAGGCTGAGGCAGGAGAATCACTTGAACCCAGGAGGCAGAGGTTGCAGTGAGCTGAGATTGTGCCACTGAACTCCAGCCTGGGTGAGAGAGTGAGGATCCATCTCAAAAAACAAAATAAAAATAAAAATAACCTGGAAGTTGAACCTGATGAAAAGCGTGCTTGAATTTAGTTAGCAATATGTCCAAGGTTATGCGTGTAACAATTTAGATACATCAAGAAAAGCCAAGAATACAGAATCAAGTTACACAGAAGAAATACATTTCTTTTCTAGGCCTTCATGATAAATATTTCAGTGTCAGGCCATAATAACTGATTTAGAACCAAAGAAAAAACTTACAGGAGCAGACAAAAAAGTTGGAGACAGTCACCATCCCAGGCCTTCTCAATGTGAAAAAAAAGAAGGCAATGATGTATGACTTGCAAATGTCATACACTGAGATGCAAGAAAAGTTGATCCTCTGAGATATGAATGAGAAATCTGAAAACCAAAACTCTACCTCAACCAATTGGCTGGTTCTGTTTATGGTGGCTCATTCCCGTAATCTCAGCACTTCGGAAGGCTGAGGCAGGAGAATAACTTAAGGCCAGGAGTCTGAGACCAGCCTGGGCAACATAGCAAGATGCCATCTGTATTAGTCTGTTCTCGCATTGTTATAAAGAAATAACTAGGCCGGGCGCGGTGGCTCACGCCTGTAATCCCAGCACTTTGGGAGGCCAAGGCAGATGGATCACCTGAGGTCAGGAATTCAAGACCAGCCTGACCAACATGGTGAAACCCCGTCTCTACTAAAAACACAAAAAATTGACAGTGCTATAAAGAAATATCTGAGATGGGGTGATTTATAGAGAAGACGTTTAATCGGCTCACAGTTCTGCAGGCTGGACAGGTAGCATGACTGGGAGGCCTCAGGAAACTTACAATCATAGCAGAAGGCTGAGAAGCAGGCATGTCACGTGGCCAAAGCAGGAGCAGGAGAGAGGGGGAGGTGCTACACACCTTTAAATGACCAAATCGAGTGACAAGAACTCACTGTCTATCACGAGGACAGTACCAAGGCAGGTAGTGCTAAATGACCCATGAGAAATCCACCCCCCAAGATCAAGTCACCTCTCACCAGCCCCTACCTCTAACATTGGGAATTACAGTTGAACATGAGATTTGGGTAGGGACACATATCCAAACCATATCATCATCTCTACAAATTTTTTTAACTGTGTGAAATTCCAGCTGGATAAATAAAATTATGGTTTTAAATGACGAGGATAGTATTTAAAACCTGAAAACTACAGAAATTAAATCAATCTCAGGAAAAAATGTGGCAGAAATAGAAACTAGAGCTTAGAAGATGGCTACTAACAGATTTTAGAACAAACAAAACGTCTTGCAAATTTATTTTTTTTAAGCACAGATAAATATGTCAAAAAAAAAAACCTTTGTTTTCAATATAGAGGACCAGACTCTGGTCCTGTATCAGTGCACCCAACACCACTGTTTAATTTTTAGGAAAAAAAAAACCTATGTACAATTTCTTTTCAATCCTAGCCAACACAATCATACATTAAACTGTCCGTAAGGCCTATCTTTCATAAATCCTATTCAAATTGTTTAGACATTTAACCATTTTCTTAAACTTTCAGTCTTAGTCTTACAGTGTTCTCTTTTTATATTGGTACAACCAATCATTTTACGTTAGGACAAAAATTTACCACATAAGATTCTTGCACAAAAATTGCTTTTTCCTAAATTTGTATTTTGAGTAATAGACCAAAATATATCTAGTCTTTTTAGACATTTTAAGAAGGCAGCTGGGTGCAGTGGCTCATGCCTGTAATCCCAGCACATTGGGAGGCGAAGACAGGTGGATCACTTGAGGTCAGCAATTCAAGACCGGCCTGGCCAACATAGTGAAACTCCATCTCTACTAATAATACA